AGGAGGGATAGTGGACAGGAGGGATAGTGGATAGGAGGGATAGTGGATAGGAGGGATAGTGGATAGGATGGATAGTGGATAGGAGGGATAGTGGATAGGAGGGATAGTGGAGCTCGGAGAACATGTGTGGCTCTCTGAAGGATGGAGAAGGACTCTGGTTTCCATGGGCGGATGGAAATTGTTGGCTCAGGACAGAGACTGCTGCTGGCCCACCAGACTCTCACAGTGCACATGTGAACGTTTGTAGGCATCTGTACTCTGACCTCCCCTTCCCAGGAGCATCTTCTGAGAACACTAAGTTCGTCTGCTTACCGCTTCAGTTCCTTTCTCTCTGGTGACGTAGAACTGCTCAGGGGTCAGTTTCCTCTGCCAGTCTGCCTCGCTCAGAGAGCACTTGGACTTTGTCACAGACCCTGCATTGTTAAGTGGGAAATGGTTTTTATTAAAATTTATTAAAATAAATAGTTGTTCCTCACCCATTTTGCTTTGTCCTATCACCTGGAGGAATAATCCCAGCCCCTTCTCTCTCCCATGACTTCCTTCTTCACAGGGAGCAGAAGGCTCAGTGGAAATGTTGATTTTCATTAGCAAGAAATCAGTAATAAGTACAGAGCCAGTGTGCTTTCTCTTGTCCTCCTGGGACACCCTACCCCAAGAAATGGCTTAAATAGGAAATAAAAACTCTCCCTAGCCACCTCACAGTGAAAATGGATTCTTGTTGTTGTTGTTGTTGTTTTGTTTTGTTTTGGAGACAGGGTTTCTCAACTCCCTCTGTAGACCAGGCAGGCCTCAAACTCACAGATCCTCCTGCCTGGATCTCCTTAATACTAGGATTAAAGGTGTGCATCCCCACTGCCTGGCTGAAAACGGATTCTTCCCCCACCCCGTTTCTGCTTTAAAAAATGTCAAGTCGTTACTGGTTTGGCATCTGTCAGGCAGCATGTATGGGCACATCATGCAGCAGGGCACGTCAGCTTGAGCTTTAGTTTAGATCCCTTCTGGGAGCTGCTGACTAGTCACATGACTTGAAAAAAGCTTTTTGTGCTTGAGTTTCTTTTTTGCAATTTAAAAAGTTATCTTCAGAAACAGCATGCAGAGTAACTGGTTCCATCACGACATTTCCATGCCTGTGTTTCTGTTACTGCCCTTCTCTCTTTCTCCTCCCCCACTCCCCTGCCCTTCCGTCCACTCCCCCTCCTTTTCTCGAGCATTTTCTGTTATCCCCCTCCCTTTTCTCTAAGACCTCCCCTCAGCTCCATGTCTTTCTTCTATGTTTATGACCTGTATCCTGACCCCCACATACAAATATATTAAAAATATAATTTAAAATAGAGGCTCTGCACACGTGAGAAAATGTGAGGTATCTGTCTTTCTGGTCATAATAATGATTCCACGCCCCATTGATTTTCTGCAAACACCATGATTTCATTTTCTTAGTGTTGAATAAAATCCATCCTCTGTCTGCATGTGTGTATGTGTGGAGGGGGGGAGGACTGTGGATGGCTAAGAAACTCCAATTTGTGACAGGCTCCATCTTGGTACCTAACAGCCATTTGTCCCTGATTCGAGTTCCTAAAAAGATAAATTCCTGACAACTTTGATTCCTTCACACACACAGACACACACAGACACACACCTCTAAAAATGTGCCACTGTGTTGATATGACTGACTCCTGGCTTTGGCTTTTGTAACTTGCTTATGCAGATTTTCAAGAACTATTTAAAGGTCACCCTGATCTTGGCATGAGCAGAACAGTTTGTTGGCTTTTCTACCTTGCTTTTGCAGATATTCAAAGACCTCTTGTGGTTTCAGTCTTTAAAAGCCAAAGGTTTCCTTCCCCTATCTTTGGGTTGTATGTCTCTGATGTGGGTTAGAGACTGCGGCCCTGCTAGCTCTTTTAATAAGATCGGTTAATTGTTATCTGAATCGAGTCTTTTTCCGGTGGCCTTGAACTCCACAACAGTGAGAGCGTCAGTCTCCTTATCCGTTCACCGGCTGTAGATCTCGCCCGCTCCCACTTTTAGCTGTTGTGAGTAGTGCAGCAATAAACTTGAATATGCAAGTCTCCCTGAGGTAGAACTTAGAATCAATCCCCTAGGCATGTAACCAGGAGTGGTGCAGGTGGGCCACATGCTAGCTCTGAAAAGTAGTTTCCATCAGGGTCAGCTGGGAGCTGGCTTGGTCAGAGATGGTCACTGAGGAAGGCGCTATTAAACTCTATTAAAAATTCTCTTGCATAGAGATAGATCCCTATTGGATACAACCCCAAACTGAATCTGTGATCTATCCTAATCTATTAGTTGTTTGCTTGTCTGTTTGATTTGAGATAACGTGTTGAAAAGTTCAGGCTGCCTCATACCCACTAATGCTGCCTAGGCAGCCTGGACCTCCTGACAGTCCTGGCCCCAATATTACTGTGCTTCACAGTTTCTTGAAACAAAACAAACAAACGAACAAACAAACAAACCATATTTGTTCCCCTTCCTCCTGTTCCTCATTACTTCTGTATTATTATTTCTTCTTTATTTTTCTTTTTTATTTTTTGAGACAGGGTTTCTTTACATAGCCCTGACTGTCCTGAAACTTGCTCTGTAGACCAGGCTGTCCTTGAACTCACAGAAATCCTCCTGCCTCTGCCTCCAGTGTGCTGAGATTAAAGGTGTGTGCTACTCCCACCTGGTCTGTGTTATTTTATATAGACACGTGTACCCAGAGCATCTGGGAGAAGGCTCTATTTAGTTAAGGTGGACAAAATGCTGCCTTACTTAGGGTTTCTATTGAAGCAATAAGACACCATGACCAACAGCTTGGGACTAAAGGGTTTAGTTTCATCTGACAACTCTCATTGAGTTCATACTCCATCACGGAGGGAAGTCAGGACAGGAATTCCGTGCAGAACCTGGAGGCAGTCCTGTAGCAGACGTGATAGAGAATGGCGGCTTACAGGCTTGCTGCTCATGGCTTTCTCCCTCAGTGTGCTTTCTTACACACCCAGGACCACCTGCCCAGGGATGTCATGGCCTACAGTGGGGCTGGGCCCTCTCACAACAATCTTCAGTCAAGAAAATGCTCTTCTGGATTTGCCTACTGGTGGCAAGTGATGTTTTTTCAATTAAAGATCCTCATCTCAAGTAACTCCAGCTTGTGTCTCGTTAACAACAGTAATAACAAAACAAACAAATAAAACCCAACCAGAACAAACGCCTGATTCGAATAATAAATGTCTTATTGTTCAACAGTGAAAGGAGTTTATAATTGTTCAGCTCTTCAACTTAAAAATCAGAAAAGACAGACTCAAGTGATTACTAAATGGGCTTCAGGGAGGGGAGGGCATGTAGTCCTAGGCTTCCTTTTCTCCTCATACTGCCGCCTTGAAAATTTTATCACCTTAATATCTCCAAATTCCAGCCCCTGATCGAGACTCCCAAACCTTGGCTTCCCTCCATTATTGATAGGTGGGCTATCCACCTCCATTTATAATCACAATCTGGAAGTCTGCACTCATCCCCATCTGAGCTACACACAGAGGACTGCACACATACCCCCTCATCCCAACCAAGATCCAGATTCGTGTGCTCCAGCTCAGCAGCCACACAAGCCAGAACCCTTCCTTTTTCTCCCAACCAAGGTCTGTGGTTCTGCATGCTCTGGAGCCTGCAAATCTCAGTTCATGTCCATTACCACCTAAGATCAGGTTGCTGTCATCTCCCGGCTACCTCCAGCACAGAGGATCGTGGCTTCCTCACGTGCCTTTCTCTTAGTGGACTACTTCTGTCACTGCCCCAAACTGCTCAGTGTGACATGATACCCTCAGAAGCATTCCCCAAACCCATAACGTGACTTCCAAAGCCATCCCAGCCTTGGTCACTGGCACCACTTTCAACTGGTGCATTCTGTGATATTCCAGCAGCTCTGAATCACACAACCTCAGAGTTCCCCCCAAAACATTCCCCTGTTTGTCCTCACCGGACATTGACATGCTCCTTCTGCCTTTTCTTTTCCATTCTAACTCCCCCTCTCCCTCGATGGAACCATCCATAGACGCCAGTTATACCTGGTGGGTTGGCGATGCTGTTGAACTCAATTCTTGCCGTCACTGCCTGCCTGCTGATCTCTCCACTTCTGACAGAGGACGTTAAGTCTCCAGCATGATGGCAGAGTCCCCTTTTTTCCCTGCACTGGCTCTCACATCACAGTTTGACACTCTACTGTTAAGTGCATACACATTAAAGACTGTCATATCTTCTTGAAGTGTCTCTTTATCACTATGAAATAAGACAATTCTCTTTTTATCCCTGACAACTCTACCCTGGTGTCTGCCTTGTCTTAAATTAACATAGCTGATCCTGCATTTGTGTTTTGTTTTTGTAAATCTCCCTATGCAGTCTCAGTGGGCCCGGAACTCACTATATAGACCAAGTTGGCCTTGAGACCCTTGCTGGGATAACAGGCAGACATCAGCATGTGCTGTTTGTCCTCTGTTTTAAATTAACACCAACGTGGCTTGCCATTCTTCTCTCAGTTAGTTTACGTTATATGTGTCCTTATCTCCAAAATAGGTTAGGTCATGAGAGCAGGGTTCTTATCGTTAGTTTCTTTTAGGTGTATTTATTTTTATTTGTTTTTTATTTATGTTGATGTGCACATGTCTTTAGGAATGTATGTCATGTGTGTAGTTACCAGGGAAGGCCAGAAGAGGGCAGTAGCTCCCCTGTAACTGGAGTTACAAATGGATGTGAGCCCCCTGATGTGGGTATCCAAACTTGAACTCAGGTCCTCTGCAAGAGCAGAAGTTGCACCTAACTGCTGAACCATCATGTAGCCACCTTGATTAGCTTCTTAGTAAAGATATTGGAAGAAAAGAAGGTGTACGTCAGTAGGAGTGTGATTGCCCAGTGTTAGGTTCCAGGCTTTATCTCCAATACCAGAGACCAAGGAGAAACAGAGCAACCCCTGTGAGTTTCTGCTTCCACTGCACTTGCACTGTACAAAGCCCATGCGAACCCACACAGGACTGTAGACATCTCAAGCCAGATGGTGGTCCCCACTGGAAACCAAAGCTATCTCCTTGATCTTTGACCTCTCAGCCTCTCAAACGGTGAGAAACGCATGTCGTTTATGCCCCCCTGCTTAGCATTTGCTACAGATGCCCACGCTCACACATCAAAGCCAGTAAGGGACTGTGGGGGAGCTGGGATTGGAACGAATGCTCACTGACAACCAAGATTTTAACCACAGAATCATCATCGGCTTCTCACTCCTTTTTATCCTTTTATGGTTTATTTACTTTCCTTGTATGGGTACTTTACCTGCGTCATATACCTGTGCACCATGTGCATACCTGGTGCCATGGATAGCCTGGAACTAGAGTGAGTCATAAGCTGTTGTATGGGTGCTGAGAACCAGAGTCCTAGAGGAGCATATGGTGCCTCTAACCACTGAACCATTTCCCCAGCTCCGGCTTCTCATTCTTAGTGGATGCTGCTTGCTGACCTGGACCTTCGTGCTTTACTTAAGTACTCCTTAACTGATTGGGTTGAGGCCAGTTTCCCATCCTGAGAGGAATGCTGTTAAGAAGGACTTTGTGAATACAGCTTTGTTCTTCTTTTGAATTATTTCCGTAGAATAAACTCCCAGGAGGGGCTGTCTGGTAAGTCACAGCTCTGGCTATGTACTGGTGTTTGGCCAAATTTAATATGAATGAGGACTCTCAGCTACCAGTGCTATCCTCAGGCCACTTCTGAAGGCACCTAGTCCCATGAAGTTTCCACTAAAATCAGTAGGTCATAAAGAACAGCCTACTTCCAGCCCAGTAGGCTTGCAATAGGGTCTGGGTGATTCACCAAAGGATGAGAAAAGCTCTAACCGGAAATCGTGTTGGATCAGTTAACATTCCATATTCTCTGGACATTTGTTTATTGAATACTAAAATTTTAAACTAGCAAGGGCCTAAAAAAACTTCTAAAAGAATCGGAACCCGTCAGCAGCATAACATATAAAACTGGGTTGGAAAGGAGGTCAGAGGAGCAGCTGCCCACTGCCAAACCACGTGGCCACGAAATTACACAGAACTACACCTGAGACTCCTCAAAGACTGCTACTCCTCCCAGGGAAGTGTCCGGATTCACAAATGAGGGCAAAAAGCATTTACCATCCCACCCCATCCTGTCTCATAGCCACTAACAACGACCTGTTGGAACACGAGAATAATTCGCCCACACATCTCAAGTCCTAGATTCACACAAAACCAAGATAGTGTTGCAGCAGCACCCACGGTGCTGCAGCGGGCCAGTCACACAGGACAGGAGGCAGCTGCTCACACAGGGCAGAAGGCAGTAAGCAGCCCTAGGGAAATTGGTGTACAGGGCAAAGGACTAACTCCCGCCCAGGAGAGGGCGCGCGAGGTACGGCTGTTGACCGCCACTGGGTCCCTGACACCACCATGGCTCCTGACACGGATTTTGTTCACTTAAAATGTAACATATAAACGAACTGTGTGCAAGCATGGGAGAGAATTCGATCCTCTCCGGCACCAGTGCTCCCCCAGCACACCAAGTTTACCGACCGCGGTGCTCTGCTCGACAACTCCGGCAGCAAAGGGCAGCGGGCCGCGGGGACCGGGCTCTCAGGGCCTCATTCGAGGCCGCCCCGGGTCAGCCAGGACTGTGAAACCGAAAGCCACGGGAGACGCCGGCGACTGAGGACCTACCTGTGTCCCCGCGTCCCGATCCCGCGCAACCCCGAGCGAGCCGCCCGGGCGCCTCCAGCAAAAGCAGACCCCGCAGTGCTCGCCGCAGCAGACGCGCCATGACGCTGCCACCAACCGGTTCCCTCCCCAGCCTACCCAACCCCCACCCTCCGCCGGGTCCCTCCCCTCCGCCCTAGCTCTCCTTTCCCGCTGGTGCACCACCACTTAACTTACCCTCTTGTTCCTCTTGACCTTGATCTTTGCTGAGTTTCTGGACTATTCCCGGACTCTAACCCTTTACCGCCTCCTCCTCCCGCAGTAACCTCACTCCGATTGGGATCACTCCTAGCCTAAAACCTGTGGTGTTTCAGTTTGTTTACGTTTTCCAGAGTCATACTAATTACAGTTGTTTATATCTGGCTTTCTTTACTCAGCATAATTATCTGGACATTGCTGCTTGGCCGTTCGCGTTACAATTGTGCACAATTTTTTTTTTTTGTTCTGAGTAATATTTCATTATACTAAACTGTTACTCATTAGTTTAGGCGGTTTCTAATTTTTGCACATCAAAAACAAAGCTGCCAGGAGCATTCCTGTACATGTCTTTGGGTGGATGGAGGCATTCTCTCTTGTGTGGATATCTGGAAAAGGAATAACTAGGTCTCAAGGGCAACGGCTGCTTCATTAGCAATGTATGAAAGTTCCTGTTCCTCATCCCTTTCTTACACTTGATTACTCAGGCCTTGTCTTTGGTTGTTGGTTGGTTGGTTGGGTTTGTTTGTTCATTCGTTCGTTTTGTTTTGTTTGTTTGGTTGGTTGGTTGGTTTTTTGGGGGTTTTGTTGTTGTTGTTGTTTTGTTTTTGTTTTGCTTCGTTTTTGAGAACCTATCTCTCTGTGCTGTCTAAGCGGCCTCAAACTTGGGATCTTCCTGCCTCAGGACTGAGCTTATGAGGATGTGTCACTACAAAGTTAGACTTAAATTTCTCACAGTTATAGACTTCTCTGTGTTGTGTTAGTTTTCAGTGTCTGATAATTAGCGGTTGCTAAATTATACACGGTTTTTTGCCCACTTATTATTAGATTTACTTGTGGCATTTCTTCAAGGTTCTTCATATATTCTCTGGGCACAGATCCATTATCACATCTTTTCCTTACAAATTTCCTTTCTCCAGACTGTGGGTTGTGTTTTCTATTTCCTAACTGTGTCTTGGGATGTTTTAAACTTCATTTTATCTTTTTTTTTTATACCTAGTTTGTGGCAGCTTGGAGGTATTATATTTAAATATGTAATCTTGCTAGTCTAAGATTACAAAATATTTGATGTGTTTTATTCTGCTAATTTTATAGTCTTGAGTTTAACATTTAGGTCTATTATCCATCTGAATTCATATTTATCTATTTATTTATTTATTTATTTATTTACTTTAAATAAAGCAATGTTTTTTTGTTCTCCACTGCCTGCCTTTGAATCCTTGTCAAAATCAGTGTGTGGCTGGGAACGCAGCTCTGTAGTACAGCAATAGTTAGTATTCATGCCTCAGGTTCCCACCCGGCCACTGGGGAGAAACCCCAGGTTGTTTTTTGTTTGGTTTTTGTTTTTGATTTTTAAAATCAATATAGGGGTCTGTTTCTGGACTTTCTGTTCTTTCTGATTTATCAACATGTCCGTGGGTTTATAGAGTACTGTAATAACAGCGTCTATGGAGATGGAATCAGCTAGCATTGGCAAATCTCTTCTGATCTTTACATCCCAGAGCACAGAGGCCTTTCTGGATGCTTCCCTCTCCCTGCTTCCTCTCTCCACTGCTTTCAGAGCTTTCACCTAGAACAGGGCTTTCTGCTGCCCTCCCCCCAACACACACATCCATCCCCCACCCTCACCAACTTACTATCAAGAAAGTGTCATGGCCACATACTGTCATGGGCTAATCTCGCATTCCTGGCCATATGGTTTTAATCTGATAAAGCTCACTTAATAGTTTACCCTTGGTTTTATATACTTAGTCTCTGAAATGCCTGGCCAACCGCACTTTTCCTGGTTTATTTACAAAGAGATCTTTCAGTTCCTGGTTTATTTACAAATAGACCTTTCAGTTTTGCTGAGAGTCACGATGTGCTCACTTTCTTGCTCATGGTGATGACATGGCGTATCTCTGGAAAATAACAAAAGCAAACACCACTGGAAGGCTGCTAGGAAAGCAGTTAGAGAGGAGCTGACTCTGCACCAGCTATTTTTGCCTTGCCTTTCCTCTCTGCTTGAGAATTAGTTGTAATGGCTGGAGCACTGACAGTTTTCTGGTCCTGCATGAAGATAAGATTTACACCCTGGAGCTAAATAGATGCATGAAGCCTGGGTGTCACAGGTGTGGGGGCAATAGTGAATGAAGCCCTGAGTAGTGCCCCAGCCTGGGTGTCACAGGTGTGGGGGCAATAGTGAAGCCCTGAATAGTGCCCCAGCCTGGGTGTCACGGGTATGGGGGCAATAGTGAAGCCCTGAGTAGTGCCCCATTGTATAAGAGGCGAACACATCCATGCTTTGTTTAAACTGTGATGGTGTTTTTGTGAGGATGACACAGTGGTCAGCTGTCCCTGCATTTGGTTGTGAGACTCTTCAGTAAAGGCTAAGCCCTACAGCATCAGATCTCTGTGTATCTCCCACGGTTCTCTGCAAACTATACACACAAGGGGTGAGAGAGTAGTGCTAATTAAGTCCCTAAAAGAAAAGATGGAGAGTACAGTGAAATGACCGTTAAATCTACAAGGAAATAAGATGGACTGACCACTAAAGTAGATACCAGGTCAAAAGTCAATAGACTTTTCTCTATTTAAAACTATTTGGAAAGAAGTGCTGGGCCGGGTCAGCTCTGAGCCGGTCTCTTCCTCAAGGACATGTAGCCTGCTTTCATCTGTTCACAATCCAATATTGATCGCTCCGTCTGAAATCTAGAGATTTCCTGGAGACTATCCTCCTGGGGCAACTCTGGTATCTGGGAAGGATTTGAACAAACGGCTTAGTAAAAAGGAGTAGTCTGGCACAGGCGTTAGCTCCTGCTTTCAGCTATTTGCCATGGTACAGGTATTTGCACAAGTCAGCCTTTGGGCTTGGATCAGTCATCAGAAAATATACCATTGAGGAGAGGAAGAAGGCAAACAATATTTAAATTCTGTCATGACTATTATACAGCTTTTGGTAACAAACGGAAAAATATGCTCTTCTGGTGAACAAAGACCCGAAATACTGACAGTTAAAGTCATGCTAAGGTATTCCGCATATCCGTACATCAGCCATAAATATTGCCCAATAAAGCACAAAAAAGTATTCATCCCAAATTGGAAAAATCAATAGGCTAAGAAGAGAGAGCCCCGCAGTACACATGACAGATAAGCATTTAGTAGAACGCATATAAGACAAGATAGTATCTGTGTGGGCCACAGTCAGGCCAGACTGGACAGATGGCTGGAAAGATGTGAGCAGATGGTTTGCACCAGAGAAAACACAAATAGTGAACAAATCCTTGGAAAAATGTTTAACTTCCATAATCATTACAAAACTTCTAATTAAAATATCTCCATATATTTCTTCACACATATCAAATTACGATAATTTTATTTTTAAAGAAACCATTGCTAGCATTTAGAGGCTGAGGTATATTCATACATTTCCTGTAAAAAGAGTGGCTTTTTTTTTCTGGAAAGGAACATACGTAGACTATAGAACTCATTATATTCCTCATTTTGGAACATTAGTTTAAGGGTACAGATCCCCAGGGGGAAAAGCCTTGATATGAAGAGGAACATTATTTTTGCAGAGAGATTTAGAGTTATGCTTTTCATAATGGCCAATGAATTTTTAAAACTCATTAACCAGCAGTTAATGACTAAGCAAATCTTGACACAATAATTTAGAGAAAAAGTATATAGCTACTAAAATGTCAAATGCGAGGATGACTTGGGTTTATGGGACGGTTTGTATGAATTGATGTCAAAAGGAAGCAAACAGGACAGAAAATTGTTCCATGACAGCATAGAAAACATGCGTAATGAGAGTCACCTGCTCAGGCATAAACATATGCAAGATGCTAATACCGTTTGATGAAAGAGGACTAGTTTACTTTAGGTGATTTCTCAGGCTTCATATTTATTGTAAATAAATTACAAAACAGAAGCATGCATAAAAAAATCTTGAAAAAAGACAGATTAACATGTTCTATTTTATTTATTTTTCTTTTCAAGTTGTGTGTGTGTGTGTGTGTGTGTTTGAATGTGTATGTGTGTATGTGTGCATGTACAGGGCCATAGTTTATGTAGAGAATCTTTCTCAATTGTTTACTGCTTTGCTCTTTTGAGCCAGGCCCTCTCAATCAAACTCAGAGGTCCACCTACACAAGTAGGCTCACTAGTGAGTTTACTCCAAGATCCTCAGCTCCACCTTTCTGCCTGGAATTAAAGTGAGCTACTCAAGCACCATTCAAGGCCTTTACATGGTTTTAAGGAATCCTGACTCAGTCCTCTTACTTGTGTCAGACGTGTTTGAACCATGGGCCATTTTCTCACCCCTGAAGAGAATGCTTTCGTCATTTTATTAAAACGAATCCTTTTGTCCCATTCCTAGCTCTGTGGTATGGAGGGCTCTGTGGTATGAGTCATTAGCTGGGCTTCTCCATCTCAACACTGTAGACGTTTACGTGCAAATAATCCACTAGTGTGTGCACAGATGGGAGGAGAGGGCACTAAGGTGTGGTTATCTTGTGCCAGTGTGGATTTTGGCTTTCCAAGTCTTTAGTGATATGTTTTGTAATGTGATGGCATGATTTGGCAGGAGGGGGTGTGTTAGCAAGCCGGTGCTGAGGCATCCCCAGCCTGAGGTACCAGCCATACCATTGGTCTAGTATAAAATGAATTTTATTTAGAGGCATGAGAAAGAAGGTGAGAAGAGAGTGTGGGAAAGAAAGGGAACAGAGAGGGACA